AGAGAGCCGCACTGAGTTGTCAATCACACCTTGTTTAATACACCTTGCTAGTGGCATCATGCCAGTTGACGGGATAGACTGCCTATTCACCCTCGTGAAAAGCATAAGTATTTCATTTGTCAATGTCATATGTCAATGGTCGACAGAGTAAAGCTTTGGCACACCAAATCAAGAGATCCGAGTTCAAATCTCAGTGAGTGAATCTTTTTTTATTTATATCTCTTGTTGGAATTTTCAAATTTATTGTTTTAAAAAGAACAAAAAATTATTTATTTTAATTTTTTTACGGTGTTTGAGAGAATTTAGGTTTTTTCCAAATGAAATTAAATTTATGTACAAAATTTATTTTATATTTAATATTAATATTTAAATTGAAATAAATTGAAATAATTATAATTATATAAATTTACTTACTTACTTTACTTTAACAACCTCCACGCGCACTCGAACCTGAGATCTCAGAACCGAAATCCGTAGTCTTCAGTCGACGCCACAGCCGACATTTGTGATGAAAGCAATTAACCACTGTTTACTTTTGGTTGCGGCTATTCAAAGACAGATGTCACTGATCGCATAACTTGTTCGAAATCGCCGGAAAGGTAGGTCGTACAGTAGGGCAAAAAAGATTGCTCAGGACAAATCAATTTTGGGGGCCCAAATATGAACCGATTTCATTTTCCTTTCTTTTAAATAAGGGATAATTAAATTTCGCATCGCATAAAAAAGCTCTAGGTTTTCAATTATTAATGTTGAAAAATGGAAGAAAAAATATTTTTACGTTTGAATGCTTCCAATTTTTTGGAAAATGCTTGAAATTTATTTCAAATGTCTGAATAAAAATTATTCATAAACCTTTTCACCATAGGATACATTTAATTAAAAGATGCGTTTCATTTGTTATCTATACTAATACATATATATTTTGAAAGCCGTTTTTTCTGTTCGAAAAACTCGAGAATAGCTGTACCAATATTTTTTAAATTTCGGACATCGACTCCAGACTATCCGGGGATGAAAAGCATTTTCGATATATAAAGGGGGTGTGGCACCTTCCATACAAACTGAACTTTTCACACAACATATCTCTGGAAGTATTCATCGTAGAGGGCTGCAACTTAGTACATAGATATATAATATCAACGCCAAACTCATGGAAAAAATGGGAGTTATTGAAAAACGGGGCGTGGCACCTCCCATACAAACTGAATTTCTCACACCTCATACACATTCTAGTGTGAGAAATTCAGTTTCTAATGTGAGAAATTCAGTTTCTAATGTGAGAAATTCAATTTGTATAGTAGGTGCCACGCCCCGTTTTTCAATAACTCTCAATTTTTCCATGAGTTTGGCGTTGTTATTATATATCTCTATACTAAGTTGCAGCACTCTACGATGAATACTTCCAGAGATTATTTGTGTGAAAACATCGGTTTGTATGGGAGGTGCCACGCCCCCTTTGTTATATCGAAATTAGTTTTCTTCTATTATCATCCTTTGGGGGTCTAGAGTCGATGTCCAAAATTTCAAAAATTACGGTACAGTTGTTCTCGAGTTTTTCGATTAGAAAACAACGGCTTTCAAAATATATATATCAGTATATATGAAAAATTAAAAACATTTTTTAAGTAAATGCATCCTATGTTCATGAACATTTTTTTAAATAATTGCAGGCATTTGAAATTAATTTCAAGTATTTTCGAAAAAACTGGAAGCATGAAAACGTAAAAATTTGTTTTCTTTCACTTTTCAACATAAATAAATAAAAAACTAGAGCTTCTTTAAAAAAATCGCCACGGATAGATCGACGCGAAATTTAATTATCTCTTATTTAAAAAAAGAAGCATGAAGGCGGTTCATATTTGGGCTCTCAAAATTGATTTGTCCATAGCAACCTTTTTTGCACCACTGTGGGTCGTCGCTTTAGGCTATCTGCACACTTGTCGTCCAATCATAGTTGCGTTATCGTCTCGCCCTGAAATTTTGAGCCGAGCACATGCATTTCAAAGGAGATTGGCACACTTGTCGTTATCGCCTAGTTATCGGCAAATCGTAGAAGATGCAGAAACGGATAAATACGGCACCGTCGTTTGCTAATCGTTGTGCACGTATTATTTGTTTACATTTTATGGGGAAGAATTAGTGAACAAGTTAATATTTGCATTAAAATTGCAAAAAAATTAGCATTTTTTGCATAAAATCTGTGGAAATTATTGAAAAGTGCATAATTGCATTAAAATTCAATAAATGTGAGCGTTTTAACTATAAAATGTGACGAAATTGTAAAAAGTCTCTGTGTGCATGTTCAAAACACATTTCAGGAAAAGAAAAGAAGAGATTTTACTGAAAAATGATGTCTAGAATTGTTGCAGCATAGTCTATATTTTAAAAATTGCAGGTTTTTGTAAATATTTCACGAAAATATCAACCAGAAAACAGAAAATACCAGCTCCAAGTGATTTTTTAGACGCCAAATGAATTGAAATATCACGACCGAGTGGGCGAAAGTGTAGTCGTCATGTAATCGTTGCATCATGATTGTGACGATGAAGCAACTATGATTGGATGACCAATGTGCAGAAAGCCTTATGGTCTGATTATGCATACTTCGCACAACTTCGCATAAACTTTATACTGTAATTTCGTATGTACTTTGTATCTAATTTGTATGTATTCCATTACCCAGAAATTAGCAGAATTTTTAAAAACTTAGCGATCTGTTCAGTTTAGATTTCGCTTCACATTTTCTTAAGTTACATTTTTATTGCACTGGTGCAAATGGTTGTGCGAAGTTATGCGAAGTATGCATAATCAGACCCTTAGCGAATACTAATTAATGAACTAGTATTTATACTGGCTGGTTTGGCATTTCACTGCGGACAACTGGTATAATTATAGTCCATGACGAACTGGTATGACTTCCCCATTTAATACCAGTTTTCGAACTAGAATTTCTACCAACTTGTTTACTTTTTTCTATGAGGAAGTGGTGTAATTATGGTTTATAACGAACTGGTATAACTTTTATCCTTAAATAATAGTTCATGAACTGGAATTTGTGCATACTGGTTCAGCTTTTCACTGCAGGGTAACGCATCATGAGGCTTTGTCCCCTTTCAGACACGTCAAGTCTTGAAAGCAATTTTTTTCGCATTCTCTTTTGTGTTTTCTATTTGCTTCCACACGCGTCAACTTTAATTGAATTCAAGTCCTTGGTTCTTTAAATGGGAAGCAACGAAAGGATCAAAAGAGACAAGAAAACTTGAAACGAATTGACGGTACGGAGGTATCTGTACTCTTCCCCTCTCTTCTCACCTCCTTCGCCTACGAACGAGCAGACTTGAAAGCAAGACTTGACGTGTCTGAAAGGGGACTTTTCATTGAGTTGTGGTGTATTCTGCTGGTGTGTGTGTGGTGTATTGTGGTATTCTTGGTTGTTGCGAATTACTTTACATAAATCCCCTCCCCCTGCGGCCGGCCCTGAGGTAGAGTTAATACTCCTCTGCAGCATTCTCTTTCCAGGCTAGCTATGTTGTCAGCATCAAATCGAATACGCTGTTTCTTTTGTGATGAAGTCCCCACATTCTGGAGCAGGTAAGATTTTCTCTTTTTAATATCTGAGAACTATCAACCAGTGGTATTTTTATTTCGAAGCACTTTGATTCACTCCTCTTAAAAACATGCCTCCAATCGCATTTTTATTGACAATCCAATTTAAAAGACCCAAATTGTTTTCATAGAACTTTTATTTTACAAAATCAGGGCAAAATTATTTCTTCCCAGAATTTCCTTGACTTGTTCAACATAGATATGCTACAAGAAATACATAGTTTAAAGATTTCGCTATTTAAATTTTTTAAGTTGCAAGGTTTGTATATACATGTATTATATTTTTAGGTTATAAACTCGGTGCTGTAATATTTAATACTTTATCAATTTGTAATTACATTTTATCAGTATATGTAAGTATATTACGCCTTAAAAGGAAGCCTCCACCAGGTACGTACCATCCATGGGCTGATTGTTTTGATTATTTTGAGCATTGCCCGAAGCCGGTAGGTACTTTCCGCAAGCCTAAAATTAAAAAAACACTTGCATGAAATGGTATATGAGAGAAAATAATTCAATTTTAAAATTTTGTACCTAAATATGTATTTATATGTGTATATGCTATTGAATCTTTTATATTTTTACTGACAAATAGGAATTTCGATTTTCGCTCGCGAAATCTCGAGTATTTGATACCCGGGGAATCGAATTATCGCTACAATCTCGGGTACTGTCATACCTACAAGCAATTTCAAGTAGTTAACGAGACATACGAGCTTATCGAGAATACGAAAAAGAAAGAAAAAAATTAAATACAAAAAATAATAATTTATGCTAAATATTCTATATGTATTATAAAAAAAGTTTGTGTTTTTATAAAAAATATCAACTGCATCACGAGCTTTTCAATCCACGGGAATCTCGTGAAAAAGCGGTTCCCATCAAAAACTGATTCTTGACCATTTTTTGGAAATCGACTGCTCTACTAATAGCTATTTACACGATATGTATTTGCACATGTAAATGTTACTTTTCCGATACGTTCTTGTATATGGCGCATTCGAGTAGATAGAAAAAAGTAGCATTTACATATGCAAATACATATCGTGTAAGAGCGCTGTAACAAGTGCATCTGAAGACATGCAGAAATACGGTGCCAGATGCGGGATTCTTGCGCGGGCGGTGGGAGTTTGGGTTTAGTGGGTAGCCCAACACGCTTCGGTGGGAGTCCCACACTCGGGGAAGGTAGTATAGAGATAGAGCACCCGGCCAGTGCATAAAGCATTTCCCTCTCCTACGAAAAAAAGTGGCGAACATGTTCAGCTACATATCGTCGTTTAAAGTACAAAACCGCGTATCGTCATTCTGCAAAACTGCGTAACTGACATTTTCAGCCAAAAATTGGATTTGCTCTTGGCTCAATCCTTATCCATTCGTCCTGAAATATGCTAGCCAGGAATGCGATTGCTTTATAAAAAAGAGAACAATTTTAAATATGAGTGTTTTTACTCTCTAGAAAATAATTTATGCAACCTCACATACGCGGTTTTGCATTTTGTTGATACGCGCTTTTGTACTTTAAATGACGATATGGATTTGGCTTAGGCAGAGCATGTCTTCCTATTTGATTTGTGGTGGATTACGATCAAAGCTTTTGACGGGAGAAGCTTTTTAAAGGTTTTGTCACATGTAATAATCAAAAAATTAAATAGACTTGGGCGATTTTTCTGATCTTTTTCGCCTATTTGCCAAAGAGGCATTGTGTGGCCTACTAAAAACTAAAACTTTATTTATTTGTTATAAGTTATCATTTTACACATTTTTCTTTTAGCTAAAAAAGAATTCAGTCTGGTTGATCAGGGATCACACGGTTTGTACATTTATACAGATTTGTACATTTTGGCAGTCACAGGGTTGTGTTTTCAACAACTTTGTGTCACAGCGCACGGCAGTGCGCGCAAGTGACGAAAGCAGCCACAGTAGCATGCTGAAATGACTTATATATACACGAGATTTGGAAGTTTTTATCCAGACGTCCAATCGACATGTTTGAGATATCGTTGGAAAGGTCTTGCAGAGTGTGTCCAGAAAACGTATTCAAGCTTCATAAACGATTAACCGGATTCTTAAAAATTTGGCTAAAGTGTTGCGAAACAAAAAAAGGTGTTTTTGCTTTTGCCGGTTTAAGGATGCACATCGGTACATCCAACATATTTATGTTATTCTATAGGCCAATACCTTTCAAACGATACCTTATATAATAAGTTCCGGCTACTAGTTGGAAAGATATAGAGGTAAATGTGTTTTGGTTCGTGTCTCCACTACGAGATGGGTTGGTATGTATGTGGCGTCTGTTCGTACCTTCATTTAATTTTTTTCAAACTTTCAGGAATTAGACTACAAAAAAACTAAGAAGGTTTTGTTCCAGGAAGTTTTGATTCGTATGCCATTGTGGGCGTGGCTGCTGCCTGAAAATCGAAAAAAGGCAATTTTTTAAACTACCACTGAGGCCGCACTTCTCAGTCCATACCATTGACGTGGATATCAGAAGAAAGGGTCTTTAAACAAGCTATCTAACGCCATCTTTTGTATTTATTAAATATAAATATGTCATAACGTTATCGCCTGAAATTTAAAAATCGGGATGCTGAAAATATACATTTCGGGCATTTTCTCAAAAAATGGTCCGTCGATTTTATTCTAGGTTTCCACAAATCTAGCCCAAAATCTTATCTTTCATCTGGTATATAGCTTATATCTGGGAAAACTCTTGTTATGGAGATATTGCGATTCAAATTGAAAAAAATTTCGCTCCAAAAAGGGTCAAATGGTTAAAAATTAACATATAAAAATAAACTACGAGACAATCAGACGAATACAAATGTTTATTGTATCCAAAGTTGGTACCAACTTGATAAGTTTTTATCACTTCTCATAATTTTTTCGAATACAAAGGATATGATCATTCTTTTTCGCTTTATTCCGTATTCGAAAAATTATATGTTTCAATGGGCAAATCGATTTGAATACATAATTTAGATTTAGATAATATTTTTAGCAATTTATTTGAGAAAAATAAAACATTTAGATTATTGTTTGTATTTTCGTCGGTTTTAAATTTGCTACCCCAAAATAATTGATATCAAATAAACCACCTCTTTGAGGTAAACTTAAATTTATGATATCAATTTCGTGACGAAAATTATACGAATTTTTTAACTGCCTTTGAAACGAACGGATGATGTTGTTGTGTCGTTTCTTCCACTTATTTCGCAGCTGAAGGTCCGATAAATATTCGCGGGACCACCGATTCCAAAACTCGCGTTTGAGGTGAGAAACAAGTTTCCATCTTGTTAATAAATTTGTTTGCTGTGGGCTACACGTTGGATCAACGTGGGCATTTAGGGGTTCTCCTATGAGGAAGTGGCCTGGAGTTAAAGCTGTTAGATCGTTAGGATTGTCGGACATTGGGCTGATTGGTCTGGAATTTAGGATTCCTTCCACCTCGATGATTACCGTGTCCAATTCTTCATACGTTAAGAACGCTGTCGAGGTGCTTCTTATTAGTAGATGCTTAGCAGATTTTACCGCTGCTTCCCATAAACCGCCAAAATGTGGAGTCCTAGGAGGTATAAAACGAAATGTTATTCCCTTTCCGCTGCACTGCTTTACTATTGATTCTCGTGATGAATTTCCATAAAAAACGTCAGTAAGTTCAGAAAGCTGGTTTTTCGCGCCTACAAAATTGGTTGCGTTCTCACAATATAAATTTTGACAATGTCCTCTTCGGCTTAAAAATCATTTTAAGGCACCAATAAATGCATCCGTCGTTAAGTCGGTGACTAATTCCAAATGCACTGCCTTTGTGGCAAAACAGCAAAATATCGCTACATAGGCCTTTTGTGGTTTCTTTCCCCTTATCCTTAAGTGAACCCAAAATGGCCCGCAGAAGTCCACGCCTGAGTTAATGAATGGTCTTGCTGGAGTTACTCTTGTTGAAGGCAAGTTCCCCATAATTTAACTCATTAGTTTTGGCTTAGCTTTGGTGCATCTTACACAGTTGATGCTAACATGATGTTCTCAGGAATTTGCCTTTCGTCGATCTTGATTTCTTGCGAAGGTTGCGGGGATATAATCTGAGTCAATACCTCTGCCTCTAGCCGCGTTGTAAAGTTGTTGATCCGAGACTGTAGCGCCACATTGACTCGATGCTGTATCTTAGTGCTCCTTGACCCGATGGCACTAATGGAGATTGATGATGGTTTAGTTGAGATGCCAAGACGTTTAACCAATCGTTCAGTCACAAAATTAACTTGTGAGCCTGAATCGAGAATTGCCAGACACTGCACTTCTGTTCCGATTCCTCTAACTTTCACCATGGCAGTGCTTAGTGGTACATATGTGTTTGACTTTGTGTGCTTTGCGGTGGTAAGTGACGCTGCTTCGTCTTTTGATGGCGTTGATTTGGTCCTGGATGGTGTAGTACTTTGCGATTCGTTGCCTTGTGTTGGAGTGGCTACTGATGTAATGTCTTTGCTCACATCCCTTTTTGAATCCTCGAAATGTAACAGCGTGTTGTGTTTTTTGTTGCATTTCAGACAGTTTCTTAATATACAATTTTTAGATCCATGTCCCGGTTTTAGGCAATTGTGGCAATATTTCTGCCCTTTTATGAACTGAAAGCGTGCCGATGGAGACTGTTGTAAAAATTCCTTGCAAGAAAATAATGGATGTTTTCCTTTTTTGCACATGCTGCAAGTGTCATTTCTATGACCTTTGGATGTGACTGAAGTGCACACCTTTGCAGTTGGGCTTGCAGATTTGTCTTTGACACCCATCGCTTCCATGGATTGAAAGTGTTTCTCCAGAAATTGCAGGAATTCCTTGAGTGTTTGTACCTCCCGTGGCTTTGATAATGATTGTTCGTACCGCAAACGAGTCGGTTGATCCAGTTTCTTTAGTAGAAGGGGGAGCAGAAGTGGATCCCATGTTGATGTGTCTATCTGCAAATTTTGCAATGCTAATAGACATTCTTGTGTTGTGTCATGCAGTTTTTTGACATTGTCCATTGATGTGCTTCCAGGTTTAGTAGTTAGCTCATGTACTAACTTGCTCACCAGCAAGCGTTTGTTGTTGTAACGCTCCAGAAGCATGAACCAAGCTGCATCAAAATTCTCTCCTGTTGATGCGAAATGTTTAATTAGATTTCCAGCCTCCCCCACTAAGAGAGTTTTCAAGTACCACATTTTCTGAACTTTTGAAAGAGGTTGATTTATTACCAGTTGCGAGAATAGGTCATGAAATTCTTGCCATTTTAAATAGGTGCCATCGAATTTTGGAATTATTATCTTCGGCAATGAAATGGATTGCAGTTTAATCGGAAGTTGGTTTGAAGATTGCTCAGTATGGGAGTCACTATTAGCTGCTTGCAAAGTACTCCATACCTTTTCTTCAAGTGAAATGAAGTTATCGACCTTGCAGCCCTGCTCGGGTGGGCTGTCGAACATCTCATATATCCTGAAGTG